TGTGAACATCACGGCATTATAAAAGAGACTTGGCTCTATCGTTCTATGAGTACAAATTCCACTATTTATTCCGTGTTCCCACAGTCCATCATGTAAACCCATTGCTATCAGGATTTGGAAGGGTTTTGGAGCTTATTTCTCCCTAATTCAGTACTTCTGTACCTGCACACTCCATAAAACAAACATGACTCGCCATAACGATTAGAATGAAAGGACAGTTAATTGTTAGGCAAATCAACATTCAGCGAACTTGACCGAAAAAAAACTTTTCTTCCTTCCAAATCACTAACTTATAGAATGGGTTTTTTGATCCAATATCTCATATGTTCTCTGTATTGTTCCAATTTTAGTAAATGTTCAGGAATAAACATATTAAAAGAAACATAACATAGAGAGAGCGGATAGCACCGTGATACTGGTGTCCGTCATCACAAGCATGGTGCTAGTTTGATTCTGCGCCGGGCCAACCAATCCTCTCATCCCTTCGGAGTCGAGAAATTGGTACCGGACTTGTCTGAAAAAAAACTACTCTCTGCAACCTAATTAGGAACCCTCCAGCCCGGCTATCTCAGGACTCCAGAGAGAATCGCTCTACCACCATTCTACGACATTCAAGATGAAATGAAATATCCTCAAGCAACAATCAAAGCTACACGTAAAAAGCTGGAAGTTCTTCATGGACAGTGGATGCGAGGAAAAGAATCGAATGTGAGAAGTGCTGGAATCCGCACAGTAGACGTGAAAGCGGATCAAATAATGTAAAAAAATTCTAAAAAGCATCTCATATACTGGAATCTCGATTACCTATCAAATGAACATGAATATTTCTTATCATTACATAACTCGACATCACATGTATCATACTGTGTGGATGCCACTTCTTGAATTCATTTCGTTTTCTCCTATCTGACGGCCACGAACGGCTTCGAAATTTTTCATTGTGGTTTCGATAGCTGTTTGAGGATCTTCTTGGTCTTTATAATGAATGTGGTTGAATACTGGTCAAGAAAATTCTTCATGGAACTATAAGATAGCCGTGCTAAGGCGTAATCACGTGGAATAAAGAATGTGAGCTTGTCCCAGAGAAGTCACCAATTTGAGGACCCCGGAGAGATGAAAACCTTGGTGAGCCCAGAGTGGGATCGAACTAGAGTTTAGGTACGTTGGGCTATTCCTGTGGTAAAACCAATCACTACCACTGCGACATCACTTCTGTGCGTATAGTGTGCACCAAAAAGTGTAATCCAGTGAACTGAAAGTGGACACCATATGTCCAGATGGTGCAATACGTCTAAAATTGGAGTACACAGAAAGCTCTTCAATAATTGAGATATGAATTGGTTAACAATCTGTATAATCACTCAACTTTTGCTAGAAAGCAATAATTATGTCTTCACTTTCAGCCCCATTATGCCAAGAATTCAACCAATTCATCGTCTCCAGGTAATTTTCACCACTCAACTAATTGTAAATGAGCGCCTGTGCAGCGAAGAAGATAAACGTACCCTACAATGTATACGTTGTTATTGGTTCAATGTTACATCGCACCCTCATAAAACATTCCACACCTGTCGGGTAAACAAAATGGTATCAGAATTGGCTGGCAGGATGGCCGCACTGTCCTGGTGCAGCGGTAGACCACCGTGAGCTATTCTGAAACCTAGGTATGCATTAGGTAGCAGCCACTATTTTTGATGAAGTCGAATGCATTGCGTATTCCTTAGCGATTAATCAACACTGAACATATTATCATTTACCTTTTCCAACTAACAATCCTAAGATTTAGGCAGTAATTTGCAACGGAAGGAATGAAGAATTATTGTAACCTCCAACTTCATGCTATATTATGATATCAAACCCTGCACACCGTTTTAAAGACAATGCTACTTAGTGAGTTTTACATAACTAATCCTATCAGACACTGTGTTAACCCAGTAATTACCCTATAGGTCCAGTTGCCTTTCATTCGTCCCTGATAGAATTGGCACTGCAACAAATCTCACATTCTTTGGATCTCTCAGACGTGCAACTAAAGGTCACCTTCCTAAAAACTTCAAGGCGAACAATATAGCCTAAACTAGAGCAAAGACACTTCCTAATACACACGCTTGCACAAGGGTATACTCATTCGAATAATTCCATTCGTTTTTCGTCTCAACAAACAAGAATGCATTTAAAACACGATTTTTATTGAAACAAAATAATGGCGGAAACAAATTTGTATAAAGTACATCTAGAATGAGACTGAAGTCTGGTAAAAAAATCTACTACATATATCAACACTAGCGTAGCTATCTATATTAAGCAATGAAATTCACTGAGTCCATGGGTCCTACACAATTCATGGAAAATTCTAGAATTCCAGGTTGCTACCACAACTCTTAACCATAAACATGGGTTTCAGTAAGATAAACCATAGCCATAGAATATACAGCATCAGAAAAGATACAGCCACAACAGTAAATACTGATACACATAAAATATGAAATAAATATGGTAGCAGCCAAAAGGTTGCACGAAAGATAATGGGATTTTTTATAAGGAGTAATACATGCTATCACCAAGACATACCACTATCGAGGAAAAAAACCCTCTAATTGGACGAACCAAAGGGATTCCTAAGATTCCGGATAAAAAAATCACTGGAGGGTATGCCTGAGCGACGACTGTGAATGATACATATTAATATGAAATCTTATTAAATACCGGCGGAAAACCAATTGAATGATGAACAATACTACACGATTCTAAGTAACATAACGAACACAAAGAAAAAGAAAAACCTTATCTAGTATGTAGGATAACATGTAAGAATAAACTATGACGGCGGCAATGCTGGTGCTGATTATAATGACAGTAACGATGATTATGACGACGATGGCTGCAAACGGAAGCGCAAATGGAACAGAGATGTCGGTGAGAACACACCAACAATAGTCACGAATACAGAGGACTTTAAGGTAGAACACGACGAGAATTCATGCAACTATGTGCGTGTGTAAGGAACTGAACACACAGACACTACGGGTATATTCACGCGACAACGGGAATTGTGATGCATAGATTCGCAGGAAGAAGTGCTTTTTATAAGATCGAAGACGCATTTGTTCGATCCGTTTCTAAAAAGCGGTGAAAAGCAGAACAATAACCCTCTAAGCAGTTGAAATAAAGTAATAACTAAGGTGGTAAGATGCTTGGCAAGGAAATCACTTCGTCCACCTATGAGGCTTGTTTGATACACACATAGAATATACACATCCACACACACACACACACATACACACACACAAATACACAGCGAAAATTCCGCCGGCTCTGAACCATAAGCTATACCTAGCCCAATTTCAACTACATATTTTTGAAGCACCAAGCATGAGGTAGTTTTAATATGTACGAAGGGTTTGCGCCAATGTTGTACTAAGGCACTGGTGCGAATCAGGCACGACATCTAAGGGATGGTGCATATTCAAAATTTTCTTATCTACAATGTATACATCCACAGTAACGAGGTGATCGATGCAAATTACAAACGAACGAAAGCAATGTTAGTGGTAATGATAGCCGACAACTATAAATAAATGAACTGATCAAGTAAACATTTCTTTTACAAAGTATAAATAAGTACACAACTTCTGGTTACTTGTGTGAGATAAGTTGCAGGATTTTATAAAAATGCAATAAAAAAGGCTCAAATGGAACTCTGCTCTTAGTGGAAATTTCTAAAGAAAATTCCACCAAGCTGCTGGCAAACTCTGTAGGCTTTAGAAGCACGATTCATGTAACATGAGTAACCGAAAAAACGTATTTAACTTCTTAAAAACAGCAACAAGTATATATTTGACGTTAAGAAAAGGTGGTTGCCACCAGTTCACTGAGGATTGCTCAGCTGGGCGAAAACAGGCAGACGACCAGGCGTTCTCTCCCATTTATCTTCACACGTTAGTGACATAGTGTCTGCTATAAGCCCATTAATCATCGGATCACCTCGCGTTCTGGAAAAATGACGTTCAATGCAATTATAACAAGAAAAAAACGTTCCATAACTAAAAGACGAAAAGTTAACCGAATAAACATCTTTATCAATCTCGTATCAGCTTAACAATCAAGAAGGTATTAACTATGACTACCGAAGGAGATTGAATGGTGGTCGGTTTGAAAACTACTATTCATCACAATTCGCAGAAATTAACCTACACCACAGATAGAGAGGGCTACGCTAGCAATCTGTGGCAACCTTCGCGCTAGGGAAAACGAAAGCAATAGGCTCTCGAAAATCTGAGGTAGTCTGTATTCTTTCAGAAAGAAAAACCCCAGAGAATGGTAATTTACCAATAAAAGTACAAAGAAAGTCGATCATAGTCTCGAGAACGTAACGACTGTACAACACAATCCCGCTTTCCTATGAATAGTGTAAGCAACAGTTCACCTCACCAACTAGCAAAACCTCGGCAGATATTTTTGAATACTTGAAAAGGAAGGAATGATACTCCTAATTACAGTTCAAACTGTTTAAGCGCTTAACATCGCTGGTACTTAAGTAATCACAGTGCTGTTCCTTTTAAAGTAACGAATTTGGACCACTCTATAAATAAGTCACTGCATCTATACTATTTTTAACAACTGACAAGCGCTAAGTGTTAAGCGGAGTGAATTACAATAAAACTTTCTGAGCTGATACGAGGTTGGCATAGGTTTTCGTTGTAGTTGTCGTTATTGTTAGTGCTGTTGGTCGATGGATGACGTTTAGGCAATTTCGCCTTCCTCAGAGCCGTGCTGTTACGAGTGGGAGTTGTCCGGATATTTGTATACCAACCTCGCATCAGTTCAAAAAGATCAGCCGAGGTTTGTAGAAAGTCGGTGCTTTGAATTACAATAAAACTATTCAGTTATACCGCTCTATAGTGTTAAGCAATGACATAATGAGACGCTGACTATCATTCACGCCGAAGTTGAATCAAGTCGGTTTGTGAAAAACATTTGATTATAAGTAAAAAAAAAATTCACCGATTCATATCGTAGTTCAGTGAATTTGACATCTGTTGCCCTCGTTGACTGATCTGATGAGTTGCCATGAAAGCCGTCCCAAATGAACCTGTCAAATTTAAATTAGGATGTCTGAAAACTAAAGCCAACTTTGCCTCTTCAAAGTCCTATGTGTTATTCATTACTTTCAGCAGACGTTAGGGTATTTGTAAAATCCAAGAAAGTAAAAAAAAAATCAGCTACATCTTCACTTTATTTTCGAGCAACCTTAGGTTCTAAGAATGCAAAATTTCAGCGCAAAGTTGCGATTGAAATTTTTTCAATGAAACTGACCTCCATCATCTAAGTCGAGTCCCGGCGAAAAACTACCATTCGGCGATTCGGAACCACTATCAGCAGAACTGCTACTACCAGCAGTTGACTCTCCAGTACTGCCATAGCCCGGTAAGGACGACACACGTTGCAGCACTGAACTTCCTACTAAACGATTCAAGTAACAAACTCGTAATAAAAGAGCAAAGTGTGTTAGTAGAAAGTATCAAGTTATAATTGACTTATTGATAACAACATGCTTAACCTGTAACTGTATGTTCAAGATCCTGACTAGCCCACATTACTAAGTAATGATACACTTAAGTAGGCTTGTCGCTGGGAAAATATATGAAACAAAACGCACGCAAGATATTTTCCCGTGCACTCATCACTGGATTACTAAGTGGTGTGCTTGTGAATGACGTCGACGACAGGTGCTGAGAGGAAGGCTGTGGTAGGAAACCACTGTTACGGTTGGTGCGAACGGGAGTCGGCGGTGTCGGAAGATTTGCCAGTAGGTCTGCTTCGCTGTAAAGGATTCGATGTGAAACGAAACCATACAAGCGAGGTATAATGAAAAATGGAGCAGGGGATTCCTACATACCTCAGACTACCAACAAACCTGACCATTAAAAATACTAGAAATAAAACTAACTCTACAAAGTAACCCACAGTGAAACGCAAGAACATCACTATTTACCAAGTGTCGGTATTATGCCTCCACAGTTCGATGCCTTGTTTTCAAATGCGGTTGGTTATATGCATACGTGTTCATATTGTAAACTATTTTAACACAATTGACACAGTGCATTTCTTGTGATGCACACATGCCTAAAAGTATTTAAACTTTCCAGCTTTAAACAGGCACATCTCATTAACTAAAATAAAACCACTGTCATCACGAGCATAGTGCTAGTTCGATTCCGCTCCGGGTCAACCAAGCCCCTTCATCCCTCTGGTGTCGAGAAATTGGTACCGGACTTGTCTCGGAAAAAAATCACTCTCTGCAATTCAATAGGGAAAGCTCGGCTATCTCAGGACTCCAGAGAGAATTGCTCGGTCAGCATTTAACGACATTCAAGATGAAATGAAATATCCTCAAGCAACAATCAAAGGTACACGTAAAAAGCTGGAAGTTCTTCATGGACAGTGGATGCGAGGAAAAGAATCGAATGTGAGAAGTGCTGGAATCTGTACAGTAGACGTGAAGAGGGGTCATATAAGACAATAAAAAATAAAGCGATTAGAATCAACAGATATTTGCCTACAAGATTCAAGATCTTTTATTCTGTAAAAGTTTTCCGATCTTTTCGATTCTATAAAGTTTCCCGCCCTCTTCCCATCGATGGTCGTATTTCGAACGTCAAAGCTATTCAAAAATTGGAATAAGGTAAGACAGGACAAGATGGTGTCCTTAATGTATGGCTGATATTGATGGCTGCCGTGTTTGCCTTCAAACATCGAAAAACACAAAATACACTTTTAATTCCTCGCAAAATTCGATTTTTAACACGCCTAAAACCAAAAACACCACTCCAAAAAAATCACCTGTACCATTATAACAATAAAGCAAACCGTTTTCTATAAATCTACACCTTCAACACTCCCGAATTACTTCAAAATCGACATATCAACAGTATGAATTGTGAACATCGACTCGGATCAATGGCTCTGAGAAAGGCGAAAACATCGAGATGTTAGCCGAATAAAAGCTCATAACAACCTTGTGTAGGCTGAACATTTTAAACATAGTTCTCAACTACTTTTGTTTAAGACCGCAAAGGTTGAAGAAAACCGAAGAACGAAACATAGCCGCGACAATGAAGACCCACATCGCAGAGATTGATGACCGTGGACAATCGACTCGAATCATCAGCTCATAAGAAGATTTCCAAGAAATACTCCAAATAAACACTTTCCTATCAACTTTAATGTTCGATCAAACTACACGACATCCGCAAGGAACCGTCGTCAGACTGACAGCCTAGTTTATATGGTTGACGTAAAACGGAAAAAAACTGAGAAAAAAAAATTGAAAAGTTAGCCGTGTAAAAAAGCTTTTACAGATTTCGTCCTAACTTATCAGTGAGAAAAAATCCTCAATTATTCGTGCTATCGAAAAATTATAAAATTATCGACAGTTCACAAAAAACCATCATCGGTCGTTTCGTGTTACAGTATAAATTTCGTCATAAATCCTACTTTCTTTAAATATAACTTTGTTTCTGACATTTTCCGATGAAAATTTAATGCCACGAATTTTACAAATTCACTCAAAACAAAGAGAAGGAAACGAGATACTTTTGCACAAATTTAAATTTAGACGTGAAGTTGGGGAAACCATATGGACTAATGATACCGAAAAAATTTGGCCTTAAGACCTTAACCAAGCAAAACTCACCTGGAAGAGTGCTCTATTAATTGAAATAAAAAGAAACAGAGTCTACAGAGCTTTAGCAACATAATACACGTGTCCCTATTTTACTGTGATGAAAGTCTGACTTCTTCTGACCTATAACCACTTTTTTCTTCTAACTGGGCTCTTACGTCTGCTACAAAGTGGCTGAACCAGTCGAATTTTGTTTAGGACGACGCCACGGGGTCTCTGATCATGTCAACTTCTAATCGAATGCATGACTGGTGTTCAAAATTCTAAAAAGCTGAACCAATACTGAATTTCTAAAAGCTTTTAATACGACCGAAATTCAAATCAAAACAATACTGCAGAAAAAATGTTTACGCCACTAGAACTTAGGATTACAAACGCCCTGTTGAAATCCAGCACCAGCGCAAATTACGCAGGTCTACACACAAATGTTCGACGGCGTGCAGAAAAATTAGGCGTGAGTAAAGTAACATTTATAGCGCATTCCAACCAAAACAGGAACTCGAAAAAACGGGAGGCTCATGAATTGAACTAACCGTTAGGAAGTGGTCTGTACAAACGACGTTCAGCGACCCATGCAAAAACGGTCCGATGAATTGACAGATTATTTTGACAAATAACTAGAAATAGATGGCGCATACGACAAGTCACGATATTTCATGACGTGCTTGGCCAAACACCCAAACATTTCCCAGAGCCAAATTCACACCATAAGACGTTTTTGAGTTCAACATGTGAAAAATCTATTAGAAGTTCCTTAATCCTATCGAAACCGTTACAGTTAAGAGAAACCACGATAAAATCTACATAGTGCACCAAGGAAAGCACCAATTGTGTTGCACGATAACTTCCGACCACAAATCAAATAACTACTATTTTGAAACTCCCACGAACTGACCCAAACTTTCCAAGCAGGTGGACAACTGCTAAAAGTCAATTACTGGGCAACTGCTGGAAACAATATATGTAAAACGCTTGTGTACCCCAGAAATCCGGAAATCCGGGAATCCGGAAATCCGGAAATCTAACATTTATGGTGGGATATTGATGTTGTACGTTGTTGGTAAAGGCACATAAACCATTTACTCTTATTTTAGTCGACAGGTTTGCTATGATCTGATACTCTGCAGCTGAAGTTTATGGTTAAGCAAAAAAAATCGTTTTTTAAAAGAGCCGAACACGTGCCACCACTTAAGGTGCCACTCAAGAAGAGTCAACTATGCCAAATAGGAGTTGATATGTTAAACGAAGAAAAAAAGCTCTTTGTGGGGCATAAATGGATTCAGAAAATGCGCTCGTAATCTTTGTTGTATTTTCACGAATAGATGCATCCGTGTATAGGTGGATTGCATCTTAGAAGTATAACCAGCCTAATGCCGGCAAGTTAGTGACCAGAAATTACATGGTATTTAGTTCAGGATTGTCTCCAGGAAGCAAACCCAGTGTTTACGCCGAAAAGTCACGCTAGGCTAAGCTCTAGCCAAAACCATTAACAATATAGACTTCATGTGAAAACTGTGGCACATATATTACCTTCAGAGCGAGCCGTGCTATGCCAAATGAAGAAATTGAGACCTTGATAACAACCTAGTCGATAAACGTGAAACAAGCGATTAACATGATTAACAAGGCTATAGATAATTACAGCTCATGGAAACGATTAGCTAGGTAATTGGTAAACTCCTCTACTGACATATTACACTTACTAGTAGAGAAATACAGCTCTTAAAAATGTACATAGACGTACCTAGAAAATCTTTTATCGTTAACAATGCCTTCTCCATCATGTCAGAAGTTATACTAACTGATTCATATCTCTAGCAGTTTTGCTCTCACCTGTGAATGAAGTGACACCGTGGTCCATATGGACAATATCCTGACTGGTGGTATGACTGACATGCCTCGGTTTTATACTTCGGATGGCGGGGAATTGGGCGCTTTTCTTGTTCTCCATGAGCGTACTGACATCTGCATAAAATATGCAATAATATAAAAAAAACAACAGAGCTCTAAGGATAGGTGACTTTCAAGCTACCTTTCTCCATAGTTACAACGACCATGATCCATCCATGAACGACACAACTCAGTTTTGTACAATTTTGGATTTTTCGGAGGAGGAACGTTGGATAATGTCGTGACGCCGCCAGAAGGATTAAAATTAACAGATGCCATAGAGGAATCTAAAACTTGTTGAAAGAAATTAAATAGAAGGGATAAGCCAAAACAAGATAGTTAAATGTAAGCATTGTTGACAATCTCTTCTTTTCATGGTATGTTCATTTCAACGCAAATGTTGTGAACACGAACAAAAGGCCAACAGATGAGTGATTAATGTGGAAATTCACAAAGCACTATATAAATTTTATACGTGATTACCACATTGTGTCAAAAGTTTGAGAAATAACAAGTATGATTTGAATGAAGCTAGGCCCTCGCAATTTAACTAGAACAGAATACCTACAGAACAAAGGAAAAGGTAAATAATAAATTATTCGGAGCTAAAATTCAAATACCTCGTTTAGAGAAAAAAAAGTAAAGTCATCAATACGTAGAAAAAAAACAAGGCACAAACTATTTAATGGAGTTCCAGGGGCTCCGGGAGAATTGTTTGACTCGTAGTGTGACGACATAATCCCAACAGCGCGACGGTTCGGCTGGGCGAATCTGGATATGTAGCAATAGAGAAACGAATATGACATTCTTACGTATAAAACCAAGAAGGAAACAAAAAAGAAGGAAATACATTATTATTCACCGATTCGGGCTTGTCATCTGCTTGTATGGTGATCCAGAGAATTGACTAATAGAGAAACTGCTGCAGCTGTCCAACACCGGAGAGGAAAGCGTATCTAGTAGTGAAGAAAGCGCCTCAGTTGGAGAAGACAGTGAATCGTGAATTGACTGAAATATTTTCCATATCTCTACTACTTTATGCACAAATATTGCAAAATACGAATATATTCGACTTTTGCCAAATAGTGAGCAAAAACACTAATAAAGTTAGTCCATAACAATAGCGGGTTTTCAATTCTTCATGAGAGCCTGTTTGACTTCTCAGTTGAGAAAACCGCTCTTCAAGTGCTTAATTAATTTCACAACAGCCAACACCACATGAATAACATCAAGAATAGAACGACAAATGTACATGAATAAAAATTAGTTCCATTTCGCAATGTATGCATGTTCCTTTAGTGAATGGCTATTGAAAACATCGGACATTCCATTTCCCACTCCAATTTGTAGAACGCAATTGGAAAACAATACAGATTTTGAACGAGCTAAATACTAGTTTTATTCTACTTTATATTTTATATGGATATCAAAAAACGATACCGAAAGATAAAAAAATAATAAAGCTTTCGGGACCTCGTATTCGACTTCATTGAGCATCGTTTGGAAGAGGTTGAATGCACATCTGCCCTTTAAAATCACGCGCGGTGGCCTACCGATGTATCGAGCCACTGGTGCTATCCTATCAGACAAATCTGGTTCCAATTTACCGACCCCGGAGGAATGGAGGGCTTGGTGAGCCGTGAGCGCTTTGATCGATTCTACGTATGTTGCAGGGAGCCTCCCACCACTGCGCCACACACGCCCTTAGAATGATATTAACAGAAAGAAATTCACATTATCATCGAAAGATTACACGAAAGAAGTTTGTTTTACAAACAAGCTCCGATGCTGATTTTTCGACAAAAATGCCGATGTTTCTCCGATAAATGCAGCACATGAGGAGTTGCAAACATGACAGACTCGTAAGAGAGGGCTTGCTCTATAGCTTTGAAGGTACTCATATATGCATAACATTATTTTCGTTTTAAAAATGCTAAACGGATATTGGAGAAAACTAGGTACAAAATCCTAAGCTTTTAAACATTTAACAGCAATGCGGTAGCCGCAAACATCAACCGTACACTGAGAGACGTCATAGCTTCCAGTGCTACGAAAGCTCCACCTTTCGATTTTCCTAGTAAGGCGTCCGAAAAGGAAAGTGGTAAAGATACCCTTGGTGAGCTCCAGAAAACAAGGATCTTGTCGTATTATAGAAGAACCCGTATAGTGAGAATTCATAGATTCTAATCAATTTTACTTAAATTAGCAAGCTCACTATGAGTTTCGACATGTTGATCTGAAGCTGAGGATTGTACCAATTTCGCACTGCATGCGTTGAAATCAATGCTCATATCCCATTACAGGGTGAAACTGGATGATGCAATTTTTGGCATACGTACAACATATTGTACAGCATAACATATAATAGTATGTATTACAATATAACGTACGAAATACTGAGTTGTAAGTGTTAGTTTAACGCTGGGAATAACAAAATTGATTCAGAGAACTCCGAGAAGTGGATAAGCCGGTGCAGAAAGGAACTGTAGAAGAAGAAGAAAAAGTAGAATGAGAAATGCTAACGTGTCACCATCGTATAAAAATCAGGTAGGTCCTCCATGAAACAAACAGAATAGCGTACAAACTCGTTCAAGCATTTTTGACAGACGACTCGTGTCTAACGTCTCGTCACAGTAAGCAATTATTTTGAAATAGATATACACAAAAACAGCGGTGGCCATCAAAGTGGTCCAAAATCAGGGGAAAATTTTCTCTTAACTCGTCTCTTTAAAAAAACCATTTGCGGCTCATTGAACCTACTGCCACTTTCTCTGGCACTCTAACAACACACACAATAATAAACAAAAGAAGTCTTAAAATTTAATGGGTAGTCCTAGTTTGGTTCGAAATACAACGTAGCTCTCTGATTCCGAAGAAACATATCAGATTACCACTACTAGCGACGTATGATCACTAGCACGAATGAAAGGAATAAGAGCGAAAACGAAATCACGAAGATTAATCCTCATTGGTGCAATTGGACACTAAATGATCCTAATTCAATTTTCTATCACTTAAGTTCTCATTCATATCAACCTACTGCTGCTATGAATGTAGTAATATATTTAGTTATATCGGACATATGGTTTACGGGGTATGATGGGAAAACGTTTCCTATTGTTCCCTTATTCATACACCCGAATAGAATTTAGCACCACGAATTGAAAGGGTTTTTGAAGGGCACCTTTTGAAAAATTCTCTACCAAGCAGTGATGAAAACCAGATGAAATGCTATAGACTACTGTACAGTTCGTATTAACTGAAGGATTTGATAAACGGACATTAAGTTGGACTATTTCGGCGGAAAGGGTTAAAACAGTCGCACGAGATTTTGAAAAATCAAGTCGCGTTCATGTAGTTCATGTAATGGAAAGATGTACATTCAAGTCAGCTGAATAACCAAACCACTTTCGACCACAAAAAAAGGAACAGGAATACGAAACAGTGTAGGAAAAATCCTGAACAAAAACTGTTGAGGATGATGAGATTTCCTCCAGTGCGATCTTCTTCACGGAACAGAACAATACACTAGATAAGCATCTGCAGCACGTCCAACGTCGACACCTAGCATCAATGAGGGAAATAATCGAAATAGAACAATAGAATATGTAAGGTCTGAGATATTTCTTACCGACTACGGACTCTATTTCTTTAGAAGCACCAAAAACACCAGGAAGCTGATGATGAATTACGCTCTTAGAACAACAGACAAACGGACTACGTGGTAGCCAAGCTGTTCTCTTGGATGATATCACTAAGACTGCCTGATCATTTAAATATCATATATGGTAGCGATTCATCAAGACCTCCTCCACATAAGATACCTCAATGAAAAATGAACGTAGTAGCCCTAGGTTAGAAATGTTATGAAGTATGCCAGAACTGATTTTCTCAAATTAAAGAACTCAATAATCAATATATTTCAAACAAATTATCCCTCGGAATTAATGATAAATACCTTCTTCGATTATTAAGCCAGCATGAGGATAACGAAAAGGTTTATTCGGCTAACTGTTCGACATCTTTTATGAACGTCGTGCTACCTTAAAAATACAAGAAATTTTCAAAGATCACTTAAAGGTAGAAAAGCAGCTGGGTAATTCATAGATTCGATTTGAAGCAGACAAGGCCGATTCGTGGGCGGCATTCCGATCCATGGCAACATTAGTTACATAGAAGGGTGTGTTCAGCCATAGTGCGCCTACACATCACATATATATGTAGTATAAGTGGCACTAATAAACATAAATTCTCGGCAATAAAGGCTCCGTTGTGCCTGTAAACAAGTCATACTACCTATATTAGAGGGGTAAAGAGAAATGGAAAGGAAGACAAAAAATTGAATGCCTATTTAATGGGTTCCTGTCAGAATATATGGCTCATACTTACAATTTTACGAAGTCCCGTTTTTAGGAGCAAAATACATCCATAAACAAGTAGTTCAACAGAAGTTCAGGCTAACAACAACTCTGAACAACGATGCATTAGTTCTAAACACTAAGACTACTGTAATGCTGCGATATTTGCAAAACTCAGGACTGCAGGTGTCTGCGGTAGGGAACGAACGCGCTATTGTCCTTTGCGGGGAATAACGCGTTCACCACCACACCATGCGGGTCATTCGTTTCGCCTGTCTCTCAGCTAGTTCTATCGATCTTTTGTCATCAGCAATCAACCATCAATGAGATTGATCTGGGGAGCCCAAATCAGCACTGAACCCAGTTAAGCTGAGGATATAGTTATATAAACGATCGATAGAACTAGCTGTGTGACAGACGAAACGAAGGACACGCATGGTGTGGTGGTGAGCGCGTTATTCCCCGGAAAGGACAATTGCGCGTTCGTTCCCCACCGCAAACACCTGCGGTCCGGAGTTTTGTAAATATTTCAGCATTACAGAAGTTATATTTCGAAACATACCCTGCCGTTAAAAAGAATAGGCAGTAAATAAAAAGGTTAAGATTGTGACCATATAACTAGGACTACTATTTTAAAAAGATTTGTGGCAGCAGTATAAGCTACTCGAAATCGTACTATGTTGCCAGAGAGCATTCTTCAAACAATGCTATCAAACAGAGAAACTTCGCTTTTTGATAAACGCCGCGTACAGCGACAAGCACTGCGCGAGAGTACCAGCCCATCGATTCTGCCAACACTCCTGTCAGCAATAACCACAAGTACACGCTATCAATACCAATTCAAAAACTCGTCAACTCTACAAAAATGCTGAATTTTGAAGGAGAACTAAAACCAACGCCGGACAGTCGAACCACTTCCTCACTAAATATTTCTACCTCTACATTTTAGCTACATTTCATCCAATAGGTCTATTTGTTTGCTTTTACCTATTCAGTATACCAAACAAAACCCATAAAAAAGGTACAAGTAATTCAGCAACCGTTAAGGTTATAATAAACACAAAGTAGGTGTGGTGAATTTCCCTGTTCAGATCGTCTGGTTATAATGGAAACTAAAGAGGGATTTCAACTGAATAAGAGAAGCAATTTACTCGACTTCGTCCTAGGAAGTCATCGAAAATATTGTGTGGAGTAGAAGCGTTTAGTTCTTAGAAAAAATAACCATACGACAAGATTCAGAACGACAAATGATGAGGAATATCGAAAAAAATAGCGTAAGAGAGATAAGAAAAAGTAAATGAGAAAGAGAGAAAGAGAGAGAGAATTCGCTTGGGTATTTTTGAGTGAAACAGCTGACTTTGCATACAAAAAAGGTTCAGTATGTGAGTGGCATAACAACAGCGGTGTGATAGCGTACGAAACTTCAGAACAAACACGAAGGAAGCTGGAGTTATTGCGACAGATCGCAATGAAACATGCATAGAAACCATCACAAACGGCCGTCCTTCCGCAAATGGCAAC